TGGATCTCCACCCTGCCAACACTGATTGGGAGTGCATGCTCCTCATCCCTTCCTGAGTGGCCTGGCTGTGGAGGCCCCAAATGCCCAGAAGCATCCTAGAGGTCTTCCTGTCACAGATGAGGGGCCGCATGACAGAGAAAGAATTCCTTTCTTGGAGATGCTTCATAACGCCTCTGTCCAGGTAAACACTTTTAGCCTATGGAGTTGTTGGTAGCAGCAGAAATCATTGTTTGTGTACATGTGCGTGCATGTGTGCATGTGCGTGTTTTAGTGTAGGAAGAGGAATTACCAGTTGCAACATACTCAGCATGTGGAAATCAAAAGGCAAACAAAATAAATCAAAACTGGGAGACCTGAAAACAAATGTGCAGAGAACAAGAAGTAAGGAGCAAACGTTGGGGTGAACATGACCATGGGTCTCTCTCCTTGGAGACAGAAGGACAGATGGAGCTGTCCCTTCCACACCATGGTTACCAGGGCTGCAAAGGAGGAAGCAAGTGCCCTTCTGGTTCCTGAGAGTCCCAGTCTTGCTGGGCTTGGATTGAAAAACTCCTGCCTAGCCCTTGCCGACTCTGGGATCACCCCATGGCCAAACAAGATGACCAATGACTCATGTGTGGCCCAGTGAGGGGAGAACGGTCCATGTTTACCTCGTTCTTGTTCAAGGCAAGTGGTTCCCAGGGCTATGCCCTTCCTTACCCACATGTGCTGTAGGGCTTTCCTTCTCCCCAGCTCAATTCCAGCTACCAAGAGACAGTTGCTTCCCTTGGGCCAGTCTCTGCTAGTCCCTGTGTTCCCTAGGCTTACAAAAGTTGTGCAGAGGTTTTAATTAAAGCCAAAAAGTTAGTGCCTGGGAGGGAAGAGGAGGGCTGCTCTTATTTTACCCCCAACTGATAAAGTGAACATTTGTGGCCAGGCACCATACTGCTGTGCACACATTACCCCACTAAATCCTTACGATATCCCTGAGTCCAGCAGCATGCCCATCCCACTGTACAGATGAAATGGAAATTCTCAAATTCCCATGTTACACATGAAAGGGGTTCATGCAAATTAAATAACTTGGCCAAGGTCACCAGCTAGTAAGAGCTGGAGCCTGGATTTTCCCAAACCAGTCTGATGTTGGAGCTCATAAATGGAACTGCCACATTGTTGTATCTCATTTCTTGGGCTTGGCTGTGAAAAGAGATCCAGGTGGGCTTCATGTTGGGTCTACCCAGCTCTGGGAAGATTCAGCCTCGGAGACTGGGTGCTGAGGAGTCCCTGGAAACAAGCAAGGCCCAGCCCGGGCTGTGTCACTGCACACCCACTTGGATTGCACTGAGCACTTCCCACCACCTCTGGACACTTGCCTGGATTCTGGATTCTTGCCTAGCTTCTTAACTAGTCACTCTGCTTCTGCCTTTGTCCTTTGTCTCCTGCTCCCCTTTCCTACTTCGCAAAGGCTCCTCTCAAACCAGTAGCTGGATGCAACCCAGCCCTGTGTGCTGGGCACCTGCATCCCCCTGCGCAGCCCTGTTGCCTCTGCACAAACCCTCCATGGCCCTGCAGAGCACTCAGAGCCAAAGCCCACATCCTTCCTAGGACCTGCGAGGCCCCCATGAGCAGCGCTTCTGACTTCTCTGACTCATCAACCGCAGCTCCTTCCCCGGCTCATTTGCTTGTGCCAAACCAGCCCCCTGGATGCTCCTCACACAGGGAAGAAACCCTTCCACCTCTGGACCTTTACACCTGCTGTTCCCTCTGCCGGGGACGCTCTTCCTCCTTGGGGACCAACCCCTCATGTCCAACAGGTCTTACTCAAATAGCATTTTCTTGATGAGGCCTTTACTGGACCCTCTACCCACAATTTCAATCCTTCCACGACCAGTACTCCAAATCTTTCCTCAGCTTGTTTCTCATTAGCACACTGCTGTCTGATAAGTTTTTTATAAATTACAGTTATTTGTCTTTCTTATTCTCTCTCTCCCAATAGAATGTAAACTCCTTGAGGGCAGGAGTTTTTATCTGGATTGTTCACTGCTAGGTCCTCAGCACCTAGCACATGCCTGGCTCAGAGCAAGTGCTCAGGAAATCTTTGTGAGTGAACGAATGAGTAAATGAATGAATGAGTGAGTGAACTTGGGGATGCCACCCACTGCAGTGCATTGGTGGGGCAGGTGGAAGGGAATTCAGTCCCTCCCTACCAAGGTCAATCTGGGAGAAGGAAGGGGTAAGGTGCAGCCATGACAGATCCCGGGCTGTGCCCCTGAACAAACAGCAGCTGACTCAGCATGCCTGAGCCTGGATTTCCTCATTTGTAAGGTTGTGAGAAGGAAGCCGGCATCCAGAAGGGCTTGCTTGCTGCTCAGCACTCAGCAAATCCTCCTAACTCCCCATTTCACAGAGGAGGAAACCGAGCCTCAGAGGCCACAGGCACTTGCTTGTACACGGCTGAGTCAGGAACACAACCCACGTTCTTCGGGTTTCAAAACCTGAGCTCTTTATAGTCCATATGCCACCTGTCTCTTGAGAAGCGGGCCTTTGTCCTCTGCCTATGGAAGGCAACCCCGAGTCATAGCTTAAGGGGCTGTCGTGGGCTCCCAGTGAGAGAAACCAGTGCCTGGCACCTTGCTGGCCCACAGCACGCGTGGGCACTGCAACTCCTCGTACAGAGCAAAGCTGCCCTTGCTGCCACCTCCTGTGCTGCGGAGGGAAGGGCGAAGGCAGAGGGGACAGCTCTTTCGTCCCTCCTCTGTCTGCCACATCAGGAAAAAGAGGGAAGCATAAAGCACTTGGACACCGAGTCCTCTCTCATCTCCTTCTTCCCTGAATACTCGTATGGACTGGGTTGAAGGTCCTGAGGCTTCCCCTGCAGGTTCACCTGCGCCGCTCTGTGCTGAGGCTGCACTTCTGAGAGCGGCTCTCAGGAAGGTGAGCTCAGCACTTGGTGGCCAGATGGGCGACAGCAAC